TCTATACATTGTGTGAAAACGCATTTCCTGCTTTAAGTCTTGCAGGACCTTGTTCCAGCTTTTAACACCTTGCCCTCTTAATCTCGATCTCTTCTCATCCCCTGTCTCCACCCCACCCCACAGTTTCTCCTATTCTTTTTCTTGTTTTTCTATTATCTTGAATACCTTGATTCGATTCCCCTTCATTCTCCCACATCCTAAGGACTATACACTAGGTTTAAGCAACATCCTCCTGCTTTAACACTTGTAAACCATGTTATAATTCTCATAAACCTACACTGCATCCTCTCATCATTATACATCAGTATAACTTTCCTGAGAGGGAGTGCTTAAAGACAGTACTCCTGATGGCCTCTGAACAAGGCTGTGTACAGCGTTCCTCACCTGGGTATTCCACTTTCTCAAGATAAAAGCTACAATGCCTTTTGCCTTTTTGATTGTGTTTTTTGCTTGGCTCCTTTTAGTAATTAAATGCCTCTTGGAACAGCAGTGACCTCTCAATCAGTTGCAAGCCTATAAGGTATCCTGTCTTCTCAGCTGAGCTCTTGAAAGGGTTGTAATTCCAAAGTCATAGAGCAGCACCGCATTGCTGCAATGTGATCGCCAGTTCGTCTTCATCCTTGTTCTGTTTTGTTGTCCTTCAATAAACTGCCTCTCTAAGCACTCCTGCGTTGCTGAATTCCCGTTGCCAAATGTGCTGACCCCAGAATTCTAGGATGATGGTTTAGTTTCCCTTTCTTTTGTTTGATCTGTTCAGCCCCAAAAGCAGTTAACCTCACAGCTTGAAACCAAAGGTAAACAGATTTCTTGAGGACATCTCAGCTAAGCAACAGACATCACACATCCAGGTTCCAGTAGTGCCTCACATTAACAGTTTGGAGACCCTTGGCTGGCCTAACTATTATAGAAGAGCACAAAAACGGGCGGCGCGGTGGCTCAGTGGTTAGCACTGCTGCCTCACAGCGCCGGGGACACCCGGGTTCGGTTCCAGCTTCGGGCGACTGCCTGTGTGGAGTTTGCACATTCTCCCCGTGTCTGCATGGATTTCCTCCGGGTGCTCCGGTTTCCTCCCACAGTCCAAAGATGTGCAGGTTAGGTGGATTGGCCATGCTAAATTGCCTGTAGTGTTCAGGGATGTTAGGGTAGGTGCGTTAGCCATGGGAAATGCAGGGATAGGGTAGGGGAATGGGGCTGGGTGGGATACTCTTTCCAGGGTCTGTGTGGACTTGTTGAGCCAAACGGCCTGTTTCGACACTCTGGGGATTCTATGATCTAGATCTCGGAAATGCTTGAAAGAGCTATGCAATTAATACCATTTGTCTTGCTTTTTATCTCTAGCCCTGCAACTCAATCAATGTACATATCCTGTTCACTTTGGAAGGTGAATACATCCATTACCCATTCAGGCAACACATTTAATATCGTAACAATTGATTACGCTGGGAGCATAATTGTCTTCTCCTTTCTGATTGATTGCTTATCCAATTATTTTAAATTCATGTCCTTTGGTTATTGATTGTTGTGCAATTGGAAAGATTTCTTCCATTTCGACTATCAAAACCCCTTGCAATTTTAAATACCTCTATTAAATTTGCTTTCTTTGTTCCAAAAATAACAATCCCAACTCTCCAGTCTTGAAGTGAATTTCCGCATCGTTGTGACCATTTTAATCCATCTCCCTTTCCAGCTGTGGCCCCATCAGCCTTTTAAAAAGATTTAGAAGAACTGCCTTTGCTTTTGTGCTTTTCTTCTGTTAATAAAGCCAAGAATCCCATATGTGATTTTAAAAATACCTTCTAAGCTCAACCTGCCCTCTTTAAAGATGAGTCAACATAAATCTTTGATTTTACCCCTGCATTAAAGTTTTCTGTTGCCTAATGGTGAATAATCTGTGAGCACCTGGCATAATGACTCTTCCTCTGTCTGTTGATTTAGTTTTACTCAGTTTGGGAAAAAGCCAATTTTTCATCCTTCAAGTATTTTTGGCATCTTGTTCTTGTACCTAAACCTGCCTCAAATCTTGATATGCCATTCCTGTTGCAGCTGGGAGGGTGGATGGGTGTTCAGATGCTGCCAAGGTTCCATCCATGTTATCCCTCGGTTAACCTCCAATAACATACATGGCAGTTTTCCATCTAAACTGCACCAAATTGCCCTGCTCCTAGCTGGCGATCATATACATCCTCATTCTATTATCCTGTCTGGTTTGACAGTCACAGTTTACCAAATGGTGAATTACTGATCAATAGAAACCAGAAGCTACAGCATGTAGAAATCCAACAGGCAATTGGACCTCCATCTTTGACTAAGGAAAAACTGAAACAACTGCGGATGTTAGAAATCAGAAACAAGAACAGAAATTGCTGGAAAAGCTCGGCAGGCTCGGCAGCATCTGTGGAGAGAAATCGGAGTTATCGTTTCAGATCCAGTGACCCTTCCTCAGAACTCCAGGAATTCTCAAAGAAGCCCCCTAGGAATTCAACTCAATGCACCCAGCAGAGTGACAGTAATGTTGGGGATATCTATTCCAAGGCCCATAAAATCCCAGCAGCATCCTAAAATGGCCGCCAATAGGTCAATGAATGACCTTAATTCATTAGCTTAACTGAATAAACATGCTGAAGTAGAGTCCTATCAGAAGTGAAACATTAACTCTGTTTCTCTCTGTATAGGTGCTGCCAGACCTTCTGAGCTTCTCCATTATTCTCTGCTTCTCTTTCAATTTAGCACAATTGGCCTTCTGCTGCCCTTAACAAATATCCTTTGGTCTACTGTTCCAAAGCCTTTTCCTGCCATTTCACTCCTCTCGCCTCCAAATTCTGAGGAAAGGCAGAAGAATTATTCTGGTATCTTGAACAGAACTCCTCTCTCAAACAACCACGTCGAAACAAATTTCTTAGTCACGTATCACACTGCAGACTGTTTTGGGTGTTAAATATTCTGAGAGTAGGAGAAGGTAATAAGTGATGCTGTATATTTTTAAAAAAAGGTTCTACCTTTAATCCTTTTCTAGGTGAAATAACGGACTGCATTGAATTCTGCGCATCCATTCTGGTAAAAGTGCTCCTTTTGCTGTGAATTCCCTGTCCATATTTTCTCCCTGCTGTACCATTCTGGTGTTGTCACTTCCTGGGGTGAGGAGGTTGGGGATAGGAATTTAAGCTTCAACGATGATGTGGCCTTGAGTTTTTTCAGATGAAGTAATCTTGGATATAACTCTGTTGTTTTTGCCAGTGATTATTTGAAGGTGACTTTTACAAGAGGAACACCAAACTCCAGGCTCTCCATGAAAACTGACAGAACTGCCGATGCTGTAAATCAGGAACAAAAACAAAGTTGCTGGAAAAGCTCAGCAGGTCTGGCAGCATCTGTGGAGAAAAAAAAAATCAGAGTTAATGTTTAAGATCCAGTGACCTTTCCTCAGAAAGGAGGAAGGGTCACCGGACCCGAAACGTTAACTCTGATTTATTTCCTCCACAGATGCTGCCAGACCTGCTGAACTTTTCCAGCAACTTTGTTTTTGCTCCAGGCTCTCCATTGTTTTGTTTTCCCGCAAAAAAGTTTACTCATCATTGTAATATCCCATAAAATAATTGTGTGTTTAGAATAAGAAACTTGTATCACCTTGAGCCCCTATAGTTGGGCAGTGTCAGCTGTTTGCCAGTTTATGTTCCAGATCCCCCACTTTTGCATATACTCTACAGACAGTTTCCAATGAAGTTAGGCCACACCATGGTCTTGTTGAATGGTGGATTAGGCTGGAAGGGTTGAATGGCCCATTCCTGTTCCTGAGCTCACTGGTTACTATTCTAATTAGGTAATGTATTGAACTGTGGAATGTTTCTGTGGGAATTTGTAATGAGAGCGGGATTTTCTCTCCCATCATTTCCTGGCAGAAGTGTCCCGGGCAGGGACATGATTCCATGCCGACCATTATCCTTCGACAAGGACAAACGTGGAGCTATTCTCCACGATTCAAGTGACACCCAGGTTTTTGAACCTGCTGTTTTTAAATGGACCAACATTTGTATTTGTGTTTTTCTGGCAGGATCCTCTGATGGTAGTCTTAAGCAGAATTTGTTTCTCCCTGTCCTCTCATGAACAAAGACACTGAGAACATTACATCGGTTTTGCAACTCTAGTTTTCACATTCATGTGCGATTTTTTTTCCACTCTTGTGCATGTGACAGAAGATTTTCCCTGTATATATGTAGAACGTTTTTTGAGTGATAGGGTTTTGTCTTTGTATGACCTAGTACTTCCTCACAATAGGATTCATCTTCAGTTAACTGCAGTCTATCTCAAAGTACTTATTTAAGTAGTCATAGACTTACTGTGTTGGTGTGCAATTATAGTTTATACCCCTTCATTGCCTAAGCTCTGTAACCCTGTCTAGCCCTGGAACCTTCACTGATTCTTGTCTCTGGTCTCTTGTAATGGTGCGCAAGTTTCTAAGCTCTGGAACTCTCTCCTCAGTCCTCCCTGTCTCTCAACCATTCCCTCTCCATTTCTGACTAAGCTTTTCATCACCAATTATAATCCTCATTCTTTAACTTTTGAAATCTGCTGATATGCAAACCACCTTGATTTGTTTTTTTCTGCATTAAAATCACTGTATACATAAGCAAGTGAAACTCAGCACATCTGGCAGCATCTGTGGAGAGAAAGCAGAGTTAATGTTTCTGGTCCAGTGACCCTTCCTCAGAACTGTTCTCCACACAGGTTGCCAGACCTGCTGAGATTTTCCAGCAATTTCTGTTTTTGTTTCTGATTTTCAGCATCTGCAGTTCTTTCAGTTTTTTTTCATATGTAAGCAAGTGGTTGTTGTTGTAAGGCAAAATGTTGTTCAAAGTTTCATGGGATTTAATTTTTTAATTTTAATTTTGATCTTCAATTTGAGGATTATCAGGTTAGCTACAATCTCACTGAATGGCTTATGGGTGAGAGACACTTACTTTCCTCATTGTTCATGTGTCTGTCTTCCTTTTTTTTAACTTCAGTATGGGATACTGCATCCTGGTTGTCCATGGCTTGAATCGATTGTGTGGCGTTCTCAGTAAATGGGGAGCTACAGTTCTCACGGTAACCATGTTGCTTGTAGTAGGACTGTTCTTCTGGAAGACCCTGAAACAGAACGAGGTGTGGTTGTCCAGGGAGGCTCTATTCAGGTGAGAGACTATGCTGTTATTAGAGCCAGCATACCTGTGCCTGTACTCTTTGGAGTTTAGAAAAATGAGAAGTGACCCCATTGAAATATACAAGATTATTAGGACACTTGACAGAGTAGATGCAGAGAGCTTGTTTACCATTGTGGGAGAGTCTCGGACAAGAGGACATAATCTCACAAAAAGGAGTCATGCATTTAAGACAGAGCTGAGGAGGAATCTCTGCACTGAAGGTAGTAAATCTGTGGAATTCTTTACCAGAGAGTCAAGTCTGGGTGATTAAGTAAATTCAAGGCAGAGGTAGTCAGAGTTTTAATCAGTAAGGGAATCGAGGGTGATGGAGAAAAGGCAGGAAAGTAGAATTGAGGATTATTAGATCCACCATGATCTTACTGAATGGCAGAGCAGACTTGATGGGTTGAATGGCCTATTTCATGTGAGTTGTATGGCCTTACAAAGGAGTGGAGCAGAGGGAAATCTTGGTCTTCTTGAGGAAAAGGTGATGAAGAAATGCATTAAGCAGAGAATTTTCACTTTCAGATGAAATAGTAGAAGTGAGATTTATAATCCAAAAGAGCAATTGTATCAACAATTCTGTGCCCTCCCTGGCATAATTCCCACTGCAAATGTGTCACATAGGACTACTTTGTTGTTTGCTCCTCTTCAATCTCCTCCAGAGTTAGCCTAACTGGGACAACGTTCGGCTTGTGCTAGTCGTATTTCTGTGGGTTTCCTGACACCACATTCAATAGGCATTAAACAGCCCTCTTACCTACCCTGTGTGTCCCAAATTAGTCATCAAAAGAAAGCTCAGAGCCATGGGGGGGGGGTTGTGTTTGTCTCCTGGAGTTGTACGATAAACAAAAATAAGAAAACAGTATTTGAAATCACAAAAGGTAGAAGTCCAATAGGGCGGAGGGTACCGACTGTAAAATGATCCAGACAGTGATGTGAATGTCATGGGAACAGACATCTTCCCTTCCAATGTTGACCTTTGGTTTGACAGCCACAGCAATAAAGATGCAAGTCGACTAGGGGAAGCTGGAACTGTGGGGCAGTTCAAATTGAGAAGCAGTGATATTCACCCAAGCAGAGAAATGTGCAGAGGGGAAAGGAGCTAAGGTGCAGACCTTGTTTTCAAGTTTGCAAGAGATGGTTAAGGAGTGAGCCAGGTCCACATATAATACTTTTCATTGAAAGGAAAATACAAATTTTAAGAAAGTAATGTTCACTTGGAGTGTGGCTTATGAAGCTGCTTCCCAGCTATTTGTTCCCTTTCTTATCATTTCTGAAAAATATAGACTCCATCAGTTCTTCATTGAAGCGTTGTCAGCATGTGCAGACATGTATGAGGTATTGCAGCAGTTCCTAATCCTGTCCCTTTTTGGCGTTCCTACATGTAGAAGGACTTCAGACAGGAAGAAGAGGCTTACACACTTTTGCCTCTTTAACCCACTGGAGCTATGGGGGTAATTGCTCTGTCTGCACAACAGCCCCCACTGAGTTTCACTGTATGAGCCCAAACTGGGATTCAATGTTGGGAGTACCATTGTCGGGATGTTTGTGGGTAGACACAGCATCTCTGAACCATAGGAATGACTCAGATGAATATCATCTTTATCCTTGCATGTTGATCACAGGGTGAAAACCCTGGACATTTTTTCTCATGCACTCATTCCCCTCTAGCCACTTGGACTATGCCTCGTATTGTCAGATATTGGCTAGTCTATCTCATCTAAAAAGGTGCAAGTTCAGCAGCAATAGACCTGTTCACTCTTTGGTTGTGTTTTCGAGATAAGATTTCTTGTTGGTGCATGCTCACCATATCCGTTGGAGTAATGTGTGATGAGTAATGCAAAAGGGAGAGCATGGATAATGTCCAGGATGGTGCCTTTAAGCCTTAAAAAAAATCTTGACTTTGTCCTGCAAGTTAATTAGAAGTGTTAATGCATTACTGTAGTGCTTGTATTCAGAGTCAGGTTTATTAAATAACCATTGATATTGTTGAATGTGATGAAGATAATAAAGTGCTTTTAGCATGAATACATGTGCTAAGCCAGTAATTCTGGCTGATTATTTCCCTGTCCCTCCACAGATCTGGCGTTCAGACTTTGCCCCTTAATGCCAAGGTGCATTACAACTATGCCAACTTCCTGAAAGACTACGGTCGCCACGATGAAGCTGTTTACCATTATAAAACAGCTTTGAGGTAAGCAGTGAGGTCCATGTTTTCCTTCCTTTATTTACCTAACCTTCAGACGTAAAACATTTCCGCACAAAAGGCCAGCCTCCCGCTGAAGGGGCTTGGCTCAGTGTTGAAAGTTTGTCATACAGAGCTTGGCTGTAGTCCAACACCTTTGTACTTCCTAATGAAGGACAGTACAAAAGTTGCCATAGATACACCTTTTTTTCTGTTTAGGAATCGGGTAGTCTGCTGCAGTTCAGCAGATGCAGAGCAGAGTATTATGTACTCTGTCTTGTTTGCTGCTTTGTGTCTGCCTATCAAAAGATTGGTTTTAGGATTAAGATATGTGGCATACCAGACAGACAGTGTAACCCAGGCTTGATTATAAACTAAAAGGAAAGAAAAGAAAGACTTAGAAAAATACAAAGATCAAAAGCTCACGAACAAAACAGAAATACTTGAATTTCTCTCTCACCTTATCGAACTTTAGGATGTTCAAAAGCACTTAAGCACTGATGGATTAGTTTTGAAGTGCAGTCACTCCTGTCATGTAGATCAATAACGACAGCTATTTTGTGCACAGTGCAATCCTGCAAACAGCAATGGAGATGACTGTGCAGTTTATCTGACTTTAGATGGAGGAGAAACGTTAGTTAGATCGCTCGGGAATAGGCATGCTAACCATGGGATCTTAACTTCACGTGCAAAAAATCACCAAGTTGAGATGCCATTAAAAGATAATTGAAATGTTGATGTAAAATTATATAAGATGTACACCTTTTAAGTAGACTATTTTGCTAGAGAAAAGAGGCCCCATTCTGATCGATCATTTCTGATGGGGGTAATGTTACAGATGAAATATCTCAAAGATCTGCAGTTGCTCCTGTAGTATTGCTGTGTTGTGCCTGATAAATGGATTTACAGAACTGAATTCCTACTGTTCCCTATTGGGTTTTGCAATCTATTTTCTGCCAGATTGTATCCACGCCACGCCAGTGCACTCAACAATCTTGGCACATTGACCAAGGATGTGTCAGAGGCGGAAGTCCACTATAGAGAGGCCTTAAAACTGAACCCTCAGCATAACCGTGCGCTGTTCAATCTGGGGAACCTGTTGAAGTAAGTGCAAAGATTTGGCATGTGCTTTGAAAATGTTTGCAATGTTGTGGTGAAAATGTTTGAGTTGAGGTCACTGCTACAAGTCGGTTTGACATTCCTCATCAACTCTTCTTCTATAGCCGCCTGTTTCTGGAAATTTCTCTTCCTACATTAAACTATTCAGGACATCTTTTCTCCTGCTCGAGCACTGCTAAACTGCACTGCTGCTGCGCCAGACCATTTCTCACTGTGAGCCCTGCTCCCATCTGAAAGAAAGCTGCACACTCCCTGCCCATCGGGATGGGTCTGTCTTTCTAAAATGAAACTATTTCTGTCTGTCTGTCTGTGTCATAAGGCACCTTGTCGCTTGTCAACAGCTCAGTTTTGTTCCTGTCTTCTATCCCTGTTTTTCTAAAACATTGAAGTGTGAGGGTTTTTCATAAAAACCTAATTATAATGCTGCTAAACATGTTTCCAGACAGCCTTACACCACTCTCAGAATGCAAAAATGAAACTAAGTTCTTCCCCTCTTAACACACACAGTATAGAAACATAAATCAAACCTAAAGCTCTACATGGTTCTGTCCATTTACAGCCCAGCTTTCCAAATAATACACAGTGAACCTTATAGCAGTGCTTATCTATGGTTCTAGCATGTCTGAGTGGTGTCACTGAGGTTCATCACTGGTACTGTCTGTACACCCTCGTTCAATTCCATCTGCATCACAGCATTACAAGTATGGATTTGTTTTTTTTTTATATTTAAGAGGAGATTTTGAGAGAGGTGCTCAAAATTAGGAGAGGTTTTGAGAAAGACTGTTGGGGGAATATTTCTGTTGACAGGATCTGGGCGTCGCTGGCTGGACCAGTGTTTTTTCCCAACTGCCCTTGAGAAGTTGGTGGTGAGCTGCCTCCTTGAACCGCTGCAGTCCATTTGCTGTTGGTATATGCACAATGTTGTGAGGTAGCGAGTCCCAGAATTTTGACCCATAGCAACATATGTCCAAGCCAGAATGATGAATGACTTGGAGGGGAACTGGCAGGTAGTGGGGTTCCCACGTATCTGTTGCCCTTGCTGTTCGAGGTTGTGGATTTGGAAAGTGCTGTTTGAGGATCTTGAGCAGATTAGACAGATAGTACACACTTATGCTCCTGAGCATCAGTGGTATGGGATGTGGATGTAGTGCCAGTCAAGCGGGCTGCTTTGTCCTGGATGGTGTCAAGCTTCTTGAGTGTTGTTGGGGCTGCAAGAGGGGATATTCCATCACACTCCTGACTTGTAGACAGGTTTTGGAGAGTCAGGAAGTGCATTACTCACTGCAGGATTCCTAACCTCTGACATGTTCATGTAGCTACTGTGTTTATATGGCAAGTCCAGCTCAATTTCTGGTAGATGGTGAACCTCAGGGCATTGATGGTGGTACATTCACTGATAGTAACGTCATTGAGTGTCAGTGGGTGGTGGTTAGATTCTCTCTTTTTGGAAATGGTTATTGCCTGGCACTTGTGTAACGTAAATGTTACTTGGCACTTGTCAGCCCAAGCCTGGATATTGACCAGGTCTCCTTGCATTCGAACATGGACTGCTTGAGTACATGAGGAGCCACGAATGGTGCGGAACATTGTGCAATCATCAGCGAACATCGCCACTTCTGACCTTACGATGAAGGGAAGGCCATTGATGAAGCAACAGGAGATGGACATGCTGAGGACACTCCCCTGCGGCACTCCTGTAGAGATGTTTGGAGCTGAAATGACTGACCTCCAACAACAAAAGACATTGTCCTTTGTGCTAGGTATGACAACAACCAGGAGAGAGTTGTTCCCCCAATTCCCATTGAATCGAGTTTGTCAGGGCTCCCCAGTGTGACATTTGGGCAAATTGTGGCCTTGATGTCAAGGGCACTCACTCTCACCTCACCTGTGGAATTCAGCTCTTTGTTTATATTTGAACATTGGATTGTCATAGAACTTTGAGGGGGAGATGAGGTGACATTTTTTAAAAGTAGTGAGTTGTTGCCTGGAATATAGTATCTGTCAAAGTGGTGGAAGCTGATTTGATGGTAACCTTTGAGAGAGAATTGTATATTTACTTGAGCAGGGGAGTGGAATTCATAGGACATTTCTTTTAAAGAGGTGGAATAGAACAAATTGCTTCATTCGCTTTCTGACTGATTCTGTATTGTGAGAATTCCTTGTGTGCTCCCAACCAAAGTGCGGTCCCAAGGTGTTTGGCAGCAGTTTGCTTTGGAAAAATCAGGTCAGGTCTGTTAGCACAGATGTTGCTGTTGTTGGGCCTGTCGGTATTGCTAATTGAATAATTGTTTTCTGTCCTGTCATTTAGAAGTCGCTGGTGTGCAATGCACAGTACAACAAAGACTGTTTCAGCCTCACACTTGCTTTTCGCTGTTGTTTCTGTATTCTTCTTGTGGACTGAATACAAATTGCCCCATCTTACCAACCTTCAAAGTACAGTAGCTGTGTCAGAAAATATTCTGGAACCTTACTGGTAGCTCCCACTGCTTGCAACATGGAGAATGGAAAATTGGATTCCTTCCAGGGATATGGAGAAGGAGATATCAAACTGTTGTCTCTCTGAAGGTGCGCTGACAAAAGCATTCATGGTATATCCACGAGGCAAGCAGATGGATTTGGGAGTGGTTTAGCCATGGTCCAATTGAATGGCAGGAGATTCTTGAGGGGCTGAATGGCCTACTTGTGCTCCAATGTATGTACTGGCCACATTCAAAACTACTGCCTCAGTGAAAGAAATTTGCTGCCTTAAAATATTGGAAATAAATTGATCTGTAAAGTGCAGTTGAAAAACAAGGCAGAGATGGAATTAGGGGTTGCGAATAGGCTAGTGGTAGTTCATGGATGAAGGGAAATGGGACTAAAAATGGAAAGTGATGAGATGCCATAGGGAGATGTTATAGACAAGGATGGAAGAATTATAAATCTGTAGCTTTAATTTGTGTGATTTGTATCAAAACATGTAGAAACCTAACAGGATATTGAGATACACAATCAAGTATGCAGATAAGTTATCTGTGCCTTAATATATAGTTTATACTCTGGCTGTGTCTATGTGTTTGCAGACAGATGACTCTTAAACCTTAAAAGCAGATAGTGCCGCACTCATATCTCAGGTACGAAAGATGTGATGATCATGCAGAGTTATACATCGGGGTTGATGTTTTTGGAATTTTAGATCAGGCTGCTGTGTTGGTATGTCAGAGCTATTTCAGTCACTGAAGTGTTTGAATTAGCGTTTTCTGATAGGACTTATCATGTTAGATAGGACATTCTCAACACCTAACAGGCAGGAAATGCTTCTTAAAAGATCCATCCGCTACACACAGGCTATAAGCCTGCTAAATTGGCAAGCAGGATAATGTTAGCTGGTCCACTAAGCTTATGCCATTTAATGAGAATGAGTATTTAATGACGTGTTAATGTATAAGATGGTGCAACACTGACATTTATTAAGACCCAAAAGGATGGAATAACCTGTTCTAGAGAGCTGTATTACAGAGAGCCATGCTATATTTAAGTGTTTGTTGGAAATTCCAGACAATAGTTACCCTTGATTAAGGCAAAGACTTAGATGCAATTCACAGAGATAGTTCAGTATAAGGGAGCGAACTCTCAGATAGACCCGAAGTCCCAAACTTCATGGCAGCCTAACCCATGAAGGTTGACTCAAAAAGGATTACATCAGTAAGTCAGATAAAACCACCCTGTACTTATAATGGGTGGAGTGTCATGACTGAACATTTCCTTCTCCCTCCCTCATTGCCCTGGAGCTTCATGGAAGAGGCGAATACACTGAGTGAAAAGGAAGGAAAAAAACTGGGGAAAAGGCAGTGGAAAATTGCTCTGTGACCCCTTGGGTATCACAGCCGGTCCAAAAGATCTCCAGATGCTATCTGGTTACAGGGACCTGATCTGATCTCCATCCCTGTTGGAAACTAATCCAGCTCCATTTGATGGTGTAGTGGCAGAGTTGATGGTTTGTGGCCTTCAGCTTTAGGTTAACTTCTGGTTATTTGCTGCTTTCCGATTCTTAAAAACATAATCCTGATTGCCAAGAAGAAGGTCTTGCATTTCTGAAGAACGGTCCCGACCCGAAACGTCAGCTTTCCCGCTCCTCTGATGCTGCCTGGCCTGCTGTGTTCCTTCAGCTCCACACTCTGTTATCTCTTATTGCTGCTGCTGCATTGTGTTTGGTTGGCTTTATTGCAGGCATGGTGTGATCTGTTTGGGATTGTCTCTGGGATTGTTGGATGAGGTGGGGAACAGCAACGAATGTCAGACAGAGTGAGAGGAGCAAGCTGGATGAGGAGGTCACTGTCGTGGAGCACACAAGAAGATCCTTCTCTGAACTTGACCTTACTGAGGAGCAATATCTTGGGCACATGAGCTTTAGAAAGAATAGCTGTTGCTGAGCCATGTCAGCTGTTATCATTCATCCCTCCTTTCCTCTCAATCTGGATACAGATCCACAGATGTTGGCTGCGATTCTGCATTGATGATGCGCTTTGGTGCGTACCTTGTCCAAACCCATTATTTGCCTCACTGCACTTGCACCAGCGTCACTGGACAACAACTAAGAATTAGAAATCATATTTCTTTACGATATATATATTTATACACCATATAACTCTGGCCACGTTTGACTTGAAGGATGTTTAAAGTACGTTACCCAGCATCCAAAATTAATTTGAGGATGGGATCTGTGAAGCTTTGGGACATTTCTATGGCTCTACTTGCTCCCTCCATTTACTGCATCAGCTAGTAGCATTTCTGCCTCCATGCCCAATTTCCCTAACGGAGAGAGGGTGTGCCGTTTTGCTCAGGTTGTTGTTCCAATGTGAGGGTTTTCCTGCAGTGTCGCTCACTTCTATGTGAATTGAAAGGCAGGTGAGAAGTTTCAAATTATAGTAGTGGGTGGATGCTGTTGTAAGATCGCAGAGTTGGGCAAAGAGTAAAACATTGTGGGACCCATGAAAGAACTTCTT